TGGAACCCCACTATGCTTTTCTGCTTCCGACCCTCCAGTGGGGCAAATAACAAAGTTGGTTGGCCTTGGGGGTTACAGCATTAAGTATAAGCAAGGTCCTCTCTGCATACCATGGCTGGGCATCAACTATAAACATTGGTATTATCACTCTGAGAGAGAGAACACTGTCTGCACAATATGCTGTTCATTTCAGTAGTTAGAAGAGGCCCAGCTAAGAAGCGAAGTTACTGAACAAAATTGGTCCTGTTTTACCTCAAACCAGGACAACGTTCTCCTGAAGGAAGGGGACCTTTAACACTTCTCTGCAGAACAGGCGTCTGCAGGATTTTCTTTACTCTGCCTCCTTTACCATTTAATACTAAAAGGGTTGTATAACTTCAAGCATGTTACTGATAGACATGCTCAACATCGGCCGCTTGCTGTCCCTTGGCATTCAGCTGTATGGGAGTCCCGGAGACATGGAAGGAAGTTATTCCTATGAAAATGAGGAAGGGAAATTTATTCCCCCAGCTGTTTACACAGAGTTGTGGGTGGATGGGAGTGCCCCATATGACAGACTGTCGTGCCTTCTACCCAGGTAAGAAAAACAGGCAGGAGAGTGAGAGGTCACATCTGATACTGTTGAGGGTCACAAAAACTCACGTGGACCAATCTGAAGATTTCCACCAGCTGCACAGGACGCTACTCATGCAGACACAAGTGTAGATGTGTGAGATACGGGACACCGCATAAACAAAACATGTTTACATAAGTCAGTCTGCACATCTGCTTCGTATCAAGGAGCCTTGGCTGACACAGGATACCCCAGTGCCATTTCCCAACTCAGAAGGATCCAGGAGGGGCTTCTGCTTACTCTTGGGAGTATAACTACAGTGGCACTTGGTGTGCTTGAAGTGTTGGTAAGCCTGATGGCCAGCCTTCATTCTGTTAAAAAAAAGTTTTGGGGACGGTCAATTTCACCTTAATTCTCTGACTGAGTATTTGCAAGCAAACCAAACCAGAAGATGTTTTTCCTTCTCTGGTTGTAATTTAATATTGTGCAACTAGTTGCCCAATACTGCGTGTGTTGAAATGAACTCCTTTCAACGGGAAAGTCTGTGTTTTAGGATGAGTCCTAATGACTGTATGTCATTGGTCAAGTAGAGGAAATAGTGACTGTTCTTTCCTCTGGGATTAACTGGCTGGAGGGCATTTTGCTTTCCTGGGTCGGGATGTGGACTGTGAAGGGTCATAGCATCTTAGATTCTTGCCAGGGGGTTGAGTAAATTTTTTGTGAGGAAGAGGCACTGATGGGACAACTCAATGAAATAAGAACTTGTAGAAGAAAATGGCTGTGACACAGTGCTGAGATTGACATGTTTCCTGTTAGAAAGGGCATCTTTCTAACAAGATCCAAGTCTGGGTCTCCTCTCATGGTTTGGTAGGAACAGACATTACTTTCAGACACTATTAGCCTTACTGCCTTTTACCACATCCCCTAAACCCACTTGTACATTACGTTTTTTCCTCTGCATTATGGATTAAAATTTGTGTGCATACAGATGTATGAAATCCTTTGGGATGAGGTGAGGTATATAAGCACCTGCTATATAAACCACCTGTGGAATTTTAAACCTATATAAAAAGGTAGCGTTTGTTCTGGGAAAATTTAGGAAGTAAGTTGAAGTTACAAATAACGATGAATTTATACTTTGGTTGGGAGCATCATAGATATATCTGGAGTATTGGTGAGCTTTCTCTTTCTTTTTTTCCTTAGTAGCTTATGAAAAAATATGTGACACATCATCTCTTGCTTGTTATCCCATTTTGAATTAGCCTGTTCTGAAAATATGCTAATTAAGATAACAGATCTAGGATTTGATCTTAAGATTTGCCAGTATCTCAATTTCGTTATCTTCAATATGAGAGCTCTTCTTGCATCACAGATTTAGATCCTCTAATTGCATATTGACATATGGAAAGTAGATTTGTAAGTACTTTTTGCAATCCTCAGATGATAGGAATAAAAAACTCTACCTTCTGCCCATACAGACGTAACTTAAAATATTTACTGAGCACTTAAACCTAAAAGGCTAACGTGATGGAACTGGCCACTTTGTACTGCTTGATGAATCTGCAACGTGACGTGTTGGGAAGCGGAGGACCGTGGCTTTCCTGTGGAAGGTCTCTCTAGCATCCAGACGCTAGACAAGGTGTAGGCTGCCGCTGGTTGTTTCTAGGAATTTGGGTGCCTGATACATTTGAAGCCCCTCTGCTTACCTTCCCTGGAAAGTGTGAAACCTTCACCCCCCTTTTATAATCCCTCCCCTTCTATCTCAGCCCCACAGTCTCTTGGCTTTGGTCTGGGAATGTTCTGCCGCTCCTGGCTTTTCCTTCTGCAGCTGTGATTCTATGATCTGTGTGTTCGCAAACCTTTACCGAAGGGTTCCCACAGTTCCCCCCGCCCCCCGTCAGTAAGCGCTTGGGCGCTTGCTTCAGCTGTGATCCCCAGCTTTGCCGGAGCAGGAGCAGTAGCACCAACCATATGATTCTTGACAGCTTCACAGCTGTCCGCACCGCGCCGCAGAGTAGCTGTGAAACTCGCTGCTCCTGTTGTTTCGCTTCCCGCTGCCTGCAGAAAGCCACTGCTGGAAGTTGTGATGCAGGAGCTGCCTTACAGGCTCCACAAATACCTGCTTTACCCCGTATGCCTTTTTCAAATCCTACCACTTTAAAAGTTACTTTGTTTTTTTTTTTTTAATTACTGTTTCGTATTTTTCTTTTATAAACCTGAACATTATTGCATATTTGCTACGACTTCACTTTAAGGAGCTTTGTTTATTTAGTTGTAATTATCCTCGAGTCTTTTAATGAGCAGTGATAGTCTGTGCTAACAGGATGTATGAATAATTATTTATTCCACTGTGAATAATCTTGTGTTTGTAACTAGTGTAATTTATGTACCACGGTGCTGCCTGTTCAAATCTCTTAAGTCTCCTCACAAGTCTCTCTAGTCTCAACGAGCATAAATAGCTTTGCTTTCCCTTCTTACCACCTCTGGCTGTGAGGCCCGGTCAGGTTTCACTGGTAGTCTGGTGGTTATATTCAGTGACATACAAACATTTATTTATAAATTAGCTTATAAAATAGATGTTTATACTGTTTAGCTGTAGCTATTATTTTTTCCCCATTCTTCTGCTATGTTCATCCATATTTTCTTTGCATCTTCTTATCTTCGGGTACCTCTTTCTAAAGATTTCCGGAAGATGTCAGACATTTACTGTCAGCGCCGGGGGTTGCGCAGGCTGATGCTGGTCCTGTGCTCAGGTGGGATGAGGGAGGGATGTGCGACCGAGGCCACCAATGTGAGGATGAATGTTTCCTAACAGTACTGTGGTTGGGTCTTAATTTGGGTACCGTGAACGGGACCTGTTTTACCTGCCCACCAACCTGCACGTCCTCAAAGGTCTGTCTGCCTTAGGAACGGTGCAGTCCTATCTATAGAGCACGAATAAAAGTATTTGGCTTCATTTTGGGCTCAGTGCTCCTGACGTGCTGCTGCCTTGCTTAGCATCTGATTGTCTGCAATTACCAGTACTGGAATAGTAGTACGCACTTTAATTCACACACACACACACCACCACTGCCCGCCCCCCCCCTTATTGCTCTATGGTGAGGGCAGAAATACCCATCACAGAGTATGTTAAACCAAATCTAAGGGACTTTGTTGGCTTTTCAGTGTCTTCTGTTGTGATCTGGGACTTTCCTTTTCTACTTTTCACCTTTTTCTGTTGTTGCTCTTGCCTCACTTGGCTGAAAATCACAGGCACTCCATATTTTTCACCCCAGAATTCAGTGAATATTATACAGGAGTTTAGCCTTCAGGTTTTTTCTTCCTCCCACCTTGCCTCCCTCCACTCACCCACCCAACACAGAGTGCCCCAAACCCAAATATGCCACCTTGCAGATGCACTGAAATCCATTTAAATGGGATCCAGGCTCAACCAAGCCTCTATCCGGATAAAGTGCCTGATTCCCTAAGGCATCTTTTTGGGGTCTTAGGGGCATAAATATGAAGAAAACAGAATTGCTCATTTAAGCATAAAAAAAATGTGTTAAATGGCCTTCCTTTAATGCAAGCTGCATTAGTTGCAGAAGTTCACATTTTAAGTTTGTGGATATGTTTATTACAGAAATATTTTTCAGTAGCTTCCATATGATGTGACACAAGGAGCGCTGTCAGAGCTGTCACTTCAATGCTGTTGCTATGTTATGCATGTTAAAAACATAATTGCAAATGGTACAGGGATATTGTAGCGGTCACAGTTCTGTAAATGTAAACTTCTTCTAGTAAAACTTTTAGGTATTGTTTTGTTTTTACATACTAAAGTAAATGAGGATATTTGGATTTGTGTATGTCATATGCCCTGATATGTGTGACTGTAGCCATTGCTGTGATTTTTCTCATTATTCCATTTTTCCCATGTTTAATTAAACCTTTTGGTACGTAGCATTTGCACATTGTGGTACACTCAAGGTGTATGTGCTTACAGAAAGGTATATGAGTAATAATGTTCTAACTGTGTTCAAAAAAGCAGAGCTTTGCCTTTTCTGATGGCAACGCTGAGTTCTTTGAATGGGTGTGAGGTGTTAAATTAAGTTTTGCCTCTCATTCTTTTCTTTTTTTTGACCCGTTTTCTGCCATCTTTCAGTAAGCATGCATGTAGAGATACCGAATTTTTGAACAAAAAGGTTGTATTAATCATTTGAATATTATATGTGGGGTTTCCTTTTTGTTTTGTTAATCATGCACTTTTGTGAACAAAAAAGTTCTTTTAACGTAACTTTAAATCAGCTGGAAATAGTGTTCCTGAATGCTAAATTCTGATACCTGACAGCACTTGGGAGCTTTTATTGTTTTATTATAGAGGGGTAAATTGGCATGAAAGTTGCTCTTTGATGGTGTATCCTCTGCTGTTGTCCCCCCCCCTCAAAAGAAGTAATTATCTTCCCTTTCACAGCGAACAACTCTGCGCCTTTTGTTACTGTGGAGAACGGAGCTCATTAGGACAAGGAGACTTAAAACAATTCAGTCCAACTCCTGGGTATGTTATCCCATGGAAAAACCAGCCTTTAAATAAGAGTGAAGCCAGCGACAGCACCGATGGAGCTTGTGAGAGAACTCCAAGGCAAAACTCAGTGCCGCGCAAACAAAGAGGACAGAAGAAGTAAGTCTGTTTTACAATAATATTTTTTTTCATGACACTCGGGAAGCATCTTTACAGATACTGTGCTGCAGTAGGCAAATAACCTGTATTTGTGAAAATATGGTTCATTAATATTAGTCACTTTTTGGGGAGAAGACCCCAAGCACCAGCAGTAGAGGAATAGCTGTCGCTTCTGCTTTGAAAGATCGGTTGGTTTCTCCCCTCCAGTGTGAATCTTGGCTCTGGAAGAACGTGGAGAAGCAGCGTAGCTGTACGGCACAGGCGTACTGGTGAGGTTGACGCAGTCGTATGCACAGGAGTAGAAGATAATGGAGTTCTGACACTTCGCGTATTGCGTAGACTGGAGTAACTGGAAGGCTGTGCCCATGCTGTTGAAGCTTTGTCCCCTTCCCACCGCAGTGGGCTCTCGCCATGGCCCTGGCGTGGTGTCGGGCACGCAGCGTGTGTCTCGCCCCTCAGCGACGGGTTCCCCAGCGGGTTCCCCGGCGGGGTGGGCTTCGCCCTCGGGAGGGCCGCGGCCCGATTCCTCTCAGGTCGGTTCCACCGTCGATGAACAGTAAAACGGCAGGGCCGCACGCAGCTCCACGGCGGAGTTCACCTCAGCGTGCCGGGCAGTGCCACTTAAGCTGCAACTGACGGCAGAAGCGCGTTTTTAAATCCGTCTGCGCAGGAGTTTTTCCCCGGCTGGAGGGGTTCTGTCACAGCGGGCTCGGTTCGGCGGCTGCGCTGTGAACGCGGAGATCACCAGGCTCGGGAGCAGGGCAGCCATGGCGGCGGTGGTGGC